CTCTGATATTACCTTGGTATAATTGATTTGTTTAAAAAAAAAAAAAAAAAAAAACACCTAATATTGTTGTACAATTATTTTGATAGATAACCTTCATGGACATATTAGATATCTTTGTCACCGAAAGAGAAATGGAGGAGCTGGATAGAGACATCAGACCCCTTTGGAAAGAAGGAGGGATGGAGTGTAACGTGGAACGGTGTACTGCTTGGTTAGCCAATTACAAAGCATGCAGGACCCATTGGACAGAGGTCCATGAGCCGCACATAGAAATCTACAAATGTCCCTTGGAAAACTGCCGATATGCCAGTACACGCAAAGGACAAGTGACCCGACATGGACGTATGAAGCATCAAACATCTATTGAGCCAGCTCACGCTACTGTCCGAAACATAAAATACCTGGACCCACGAGAGAGTTTGATGCCATTGGCCCCAGTCTCCGCAGCCAGAGATCGGTTTAGACAAGAAGCTGCGATGAAACGAAGAAGCACCATCAACTGTGAGGCGGGATATATCTTGGAGAAGAGGACCACGGTGTCTAGGGATCAGGAGGTGATTCCGGGGGCTCGAGAAGGCACTGCTATTATTGTGACCAATCGACTTTGGGGGAAACAGTCTACTCCATCCATCGAGGAGTATTTATTGTAGTCTAGCTACTTCGTTAAGAGACATGCAGTGACTGTGTGTTTTGTGTTATAATATTCACATAATTCTTTATTTGATTCCTGTTTTAAATGATATAATAATGAGATTTTGTTGTTTTTTTATTCCTGCCGCAATATATTTATTTGCTTTGAAATAAATGATATTATCATTTATGTCTTAAGAAGGGGGGAGTGTAGCAGGAATGAATTTTGTTATATGCATTTATGCCTTGTATTTTAAATGTAATGTCGTTATTTATGTTTTCATGCATATATTGGTATACTGCCTTATCCCCCATATCATTTTGTTTATATTTACAAACCTTCTCAGATAATAGCACGTGTTGCTTCCATCAAATCTTACGGGTAAATGTTTATGTTTGATGATCTAAATTCTCATTGGCTATCAATACGGAAGTTAACCTTTTGGGTGTTACTAATTTCAGTCAAAGTTCATACCCTTGGGGTGTATTCACTAGATTTTAAGTTAAAGATTCTATTGTTTCCAAAGAGTATATAAACCCGTGTAACTGTTAGACACGTGGGGAATCTTGGAAAGCATTAACTTGCTGTAAGTTCTCTCACGTTAATAAAGGTTTATTAGGTATTTAACAGGTTGCACCCTTAGAAATTATGTTAAGATATTAGGCATTTTGACTAAATTGTCGTCGTCTATTGCTCCTGTTAAATTTATTAGGCCATAATTCTAAAAGCTAGGAGATAGGTTTTAAGGTATTCTTAAATAAATAGGGGTTTTTCTAAATTACCCTAGGCCTTTTCCCCCGGCTAGGTTGGGGGGGTGATTTTTATACGGTTGTTGGGATTTTTTTTGGCAAGGCAGGAATTTACAGTTGTTATTTTTTTTATACTATATTTTTTTGTTTGTCTATACAAAGGTTAATAAATTTTGTTGTTTGTTGGAACTGGTGTTTTCATTACGACTGACATGAGGTGTTGAGTTAAGGTACAAATAAGTTCGGAAATAAGACCAAGCAGAATCTCAAATCAAAATAAGAACCTGGGAAATAATAAACATGAAATTATAGGAGAGTGTACAAAAAAATATTCTAGAACCACTAATGAAAATGGTGTTCTAAAGTTTACTCCTATTACACTAAAAATGGGACCAGTACGTTTTGTATTTAACTATGTATATATGTAATGAATTCCATGTTCAGTAATCTGTAGTTCACTTCACATCTTCAGCAGAATAAAGAAACATTCAAATGAAGTTTCAGGCAACAATAATTTATTAAACATATTTGACTGTTACATAAGGAAAAAATAAGCTGATGCAACGTCAGTAGCTTCATCTTTTTCTTTTGCTCTGAACCTTGGGTGTGCCGTGGCCTAAGTAGTCCAGTCTGAAATCAAATCGTAAAATATAAATAATTTTGTATTTTTTTAATACCCATTAAGACATGAAATCAAAATACTTCGGAGTAAATTAATGGTACCTGATTCTGAACATCTCTGTGTGAAAATTCAACCACCCGGCCAAGTTTTTCTGCTCCTCGGCTAAGGCGTTCAATTTCATTGCTAGATTGAAATATAAGTAACTTTAGTAAAATGAAGACTGATTTAAGATAAATTTCCACCCATAACTTTTAAGCTCATGAAACGGGAAATTCAATTTGCACATTGAGATTTGGCGAAAGTTATACTAACCTAATGCCTTCTCTGTCTCGTCTGCATCGTTCAGCAAAGCATTCAAAACCAGCCTCATCTGCACATTCTCTGAAAATATCAGTAAACAAATTAACCAATTCGTCCACTTGTGGTGAGGATATTAGCACCAAATACAAGATAAAACACGAAGTAAATTTTATAACAATATTAACCTTCTGCTAGACCTGCCATTTTGCTTTTCAGGTCTTTCATTGCAGTGTTGAACTGTTGAACAAACTGAACAGAACCAACAACAGAAGTAACTAAGAGCAGAAAAGCCAGAAAGAAGAGCAGATCTGTTGCCGAGAAGAAAGACAGAGCAGCAGCAGAAGTGGTTGTGGCAAAGCTGTTGACTCTCTCACCGAGCGACAGCAGCTCATGCTAAGAGAAGGGAAAGGAAGAGTTAGAAAGTACCAGAGATGTGAGAGACTTATTGTCAGTATACAAAACAAATAAACATTCAATAACCTACCCCTAGGGTGGCACTCATCTCCTTACTTAACTGCCACACATCACATCCCAACCTGCAAAAAACACAAAACGCGTTGCTATGGACGCTCTTTTTGCAATGCAACAAATAATTTGACGTTATTTTCTTAATTAATTTATAAAATTAACGAATAAACTTTCATTTACTTACTCATACATGTCTATATGCATTGCACGTCCTGTTGATGACAGGAATGTGCCAAGAAGGGTGGAAGATTGAATAAGCATAGAGGTTCTCATTTTTGCGTCTTGCTTTGACAATGCGCCGAATGCAAATGATGCCAAGTCCTGAAAATCTCGTGCTTATATACTTTCCAGGGAATATGCATGCCGTTGATTGGCTGCTTTTTGCTCGTGCTGATTGGTTTCCAAGAAGTGGGTTGTCCAATGAGCGAAGAGCGCCAAAACGTTGTACTCACGTCAAAAAAACAAGATGGGGTTCGGTTTTGTGCTTCATGATCTACAATGTTTTATCAATTATGCTAAGTCCTCACTATAGCATCATGTATGAATGCGTTTGTTGGAGCCATCTATAGATCTTCTCTAAGAATATAGAGGGAAACTATTCAAACATCATGTCTTGCCTATAGAATTTCATAAAACGATGTCTGAATTCGCCCAAAAGATCTCCCCGTTATGTTTAAGAATTTTTCATGTGTAAGCCTAACAAATTTCTACCTAACTTTTGACATAAATTTATCAAATACAACTAAGAGAATCCTTTTTTACAAACATTTTAAACATTCCGTTAATAATTGCTTTGAAAAATTCCATATATCTGTTCCATGGGAAAAACACGGAATATGTCGAATTTGATGTTGAAATTTCAGTAAGCAAAAGATCACTTTTTGAAAATCATTCCTAATCTAAAAACTTTGTATTAACATGGGGAGTAAAAATTTGTACATCTTAACACGACATTGATAGTATTTATGTAAAAATCCGTGTTAATTTTTTTTTCGTCTTCTTTGTTTACAATGGCGTTACTAAGACGCCATGACAACGATATTCTTCCGGTAAATTGTCTCGTGTTGTTTTGACAAGGATATTGTAGATCTAGTAAGATGAACTTTTTGAAAAGAACCTGAAGTATTATTTAAAATTTACAAGAGTTCCAAAAATATTCAAAACAAAATTGTTTTTCATTCTCAGCGGCTAGAAAATCACACATTTCGTGTTTACAACTCCATATTCATGAAATTAAGAATAAGATATTTCAATCAGAAAATGCTTTAAATCAGTCTTAATATTTGAATGATTATTATGTCAATTGATTTCGTTCTGTTTCTGTCATTAATATTTTTGCATTGAATACAAATATTAGAGCCTGTGAGGCCTATCAATTTTGTCAAAAAACTGCCACAGCATGCAAACATTCATAGAGGCCTGCAAAATCTTGTGTTATGACCTTAGTGAAGTTCTCACCAATAAAAGTCTAACTATTTTTCTCCTCCTACTTGTCCCTAACAACAGTACTTACGTTAACCCAAGTGGTATTAATAAAATTCAAAACATACGACATTGGTCAATGTGTAAAAGCCGCCATTACGACATCATATAGTGCATTTGGCGGAATAATTCAAAGGTAGCTAATTTGGTGTCTGATTCTATTTTTTATTCAAAGTAAGAATAGTAAATTATAAGTTAGTTGATACTCAAATAGGACCAACTATGTCATACACAAAACAACAGCAGACCTATTGTTTTGATGATTATATTTGGTACTATTTGCACGAGTCCACAATCTCAGCTATGTGAAAGAAAATAGACGCAAGTTTCGAGATTATCTCCCTTGCTGCGCTCTTTCGTTACTTTCTGCATAAACCGACAGGCGGGACATTTAAGCCTATATATATGCCGGCCTATCATAAATGATTGTCGAGATGCACTCTTCAACTCGAAAATTACCAATTTTAAGTACAGGCGTCGATTTTTTTCTACCCCCCCCCCCAAAAAAAAAACTCGGAAAAAAGTAAGGCGTCGATCAACCCCCTTCTCCCCAACTAACTAATAAAATATGAGTCTTTATTTTCTCGAAAATATGTGATTTCTCCGTCAATTATATCTGTATGTGATTCTGTGCAATCTTCTACTTCTACCGGTAAGTGGCCTCCAATAAATTCCAATCTGAGATATCATCCCTAGTATGGCTTTCTAGCTCCCCTCGGATGCCATAAAAATGCACATAACACCATAAAATATTGCATTTGTTCTTTATTTTGAATTCTCATTTCCATGGCTAACAAATTCATCACATCCTGCAGATTCATTAATTATAAAGAATGGATTTCACCGTCATAAGTGAATTGTTTTGAGAATCAAAAAGGGACTGTCAAGGTCCTTACATCATGGTTAAGTCAGATATTGGTGCAAAAACAAGTTTAATCCTTCAACATATTGTGGTTTTAGCTAGCATGAAAAGACTTAAATACTATGTATGTAATTCATTGACACGGTTTGATTCAATAAATATATAAAGCAATTGATAAATAAGGAGGGGAAAATACTACTCGTTACTTAAGAGAGAATGGTAAATTACGGATTTATAGTCCCTGCCTATTTAAATTGCAAATAACAAAGCAAAAGACTTTACAGTACAACCACTGATTTTTTTAACCATTTAACCCAAGCAAATGCTGTGTAGATCAGATAAGCACTATTGCAACAATGATAAAATTTTGATCATGTTGATCGCACTATTTCTTTTTCTAATATCATATCAATTAAGAAACAAAGGTATTGCTACACATTTTGCCTTCACAGTTAACAAAAGAAAAGTATTTTACAAATAGTTCAGGTATTTTAAATCTGTTCATACTGTGTTGAATTTTATTGAACTTTGAACTGAAATGTGTACAATAGATAATCATGTAGAATTTATCAATGTTACAAATTCACACAAAATTTTTACTCCAAAATTGTGAACATAAATTCGGTAACATTAATCCTTTTTCCAAATTTTGCAAATAATTAAATTTATTTGCTGCTGCTTATTAAGGTCATGAATTTTTGTTCTGTCTTAATCCTAAAAATAGACCATCTAACTAAAATTAAATGTTCTGAATCTGCTACCACTTCACAAACATCTAACAACATTCCATTCTGCCTCACGTGAGAGCATCTTTCTATTACAAATAAAAATCAAAATTCTGGCCAATCAGTTTCCACCTTTTTTAAATGGTTCTGTCTTATGTTGATTCAAGTTAATTGTGGCATAAATTTAATGTATAGTCTGCCCATCCATCACTCTTTCCTGAATTATTAAACGAAAATGCAAAAACTATACAAGATATCCCCCATGTAACATTCATACACACCATCACCTTTGCCATAATTTTGTTTACTACGAAACTCTCTGGGCTTTTAGATTTAGCTGTGCAAAAGAAACACATATTGGAACTACCAGCCAAGATTTCAGCAGCGGCCATTTCACTGGCTATTCAAAAGGACACTCTGACATAAACCTGAATGGGTTGTTGTTAGATGTTTGATAAGCCATAGTGGATGAAGAACATCAAATTTTAATAAGATTAGAAAAGTAGATTTTAGAGTACTTGGTAACAAGACCACCAGCAATACATGTACCAGCCCTCCTCGTGCAGAACAGAAAAACATGTTTAAGCCCCAAGCATGTTTTCTAACAATGCAAATATTTCCATTAACCACACAAACCATATGTATACACAGCAGTGTGTGCAACTGTTGCATACTGTCCATTCAAGTCTTTTCTGGAAGCTTAACACATTTTATAGCGCCATTTGGTTAGCTAGCACTAAGTCCACAGATTGCAACTGTTTGTCACTCTTACTAAATTGCTTCTTCAGGTGACAATAGTTACAAAATTTTGAAGAAAAAAAAAGAAAATCCAGAAAAAAATATCACAAAGTTTTCAAAAGGGGATTCTCTTTGGAAATTCACAAAATTGACAGTACATGAAAACACCATCTTCCACAAGTCTGTCCTTATCCAATGTCTAATTGTTGTCAGCTGCCTTCTTGTGACCCCTACTTCTCACACTCTACCCATATTTTCAATTTTCTCTATGACTGTGCTGCTGCTTTCTGAAATACAGAAGTATATAAGGAGACATTAAAATCCTCCTTACATGTAAATGTAGGAAGTAACTGTAGCTTAATCCAACGTCTAATATTTAAAATATTAATCAGAAATAAAATTTTGCGTTTTTTTTAAAGATAAATGTTGAAACATTTTAAAAATATTATATTACCTCTGTATATACTTAGAGTAGTTGTTGCAACTGTTACTTGAAGTAGCCTACAGTAGTAGGCCCTCAATTTTCACACTTGATTCTTTATTTTTTATATTACATGTATAATTTACAATTTCAAACTATGTGTATGAGCATTCCTTATTTTGAATTTCATCTGAAGTGGAAGGCCTTATAAAGCCCATACCACACTTTACTCTTTCAGTCCCAGGTTTGTTTACAGTAGCTCTATATGTACAAGCTTTTCTGAATGGACACTAACTTTGTAACTGTTTCCTCTTCTCTCTATACCCGCTGCTTCATAATCATAATCGTAGTCCACCCATCCTTGATTTCGTCCACCACCGCCACCACCAGATCCACCCCTACCAGATGGTGGTCGATAACCTCCTAAAATACAGTAAATAACATTCATTACCAGAGAACAGAAGCAATTCTGGTGATCAAAAGTAAGTGCAAAGTGTTCATACAAAACTATTAAAACATTTTTAGCAAGTGCTGCTCACAAAGGAAGCTTTACAGACTAACACATAAGAAAAGAAGAAATTCAGAATGAATCTGCACATTCATCAAGCAAATTTTTATGTTAAACTTTCCCACCAGAATTTTTTTTCTACCATGATATCATGTGACAATGGTGAATACATTTAACATTTTGGGTCAAATATATAAAATAGATATGCTAAATATAAATATGAAATACATAATAACTAATACCACTTGGGTAAAATGACTTTGTTTTACAACAGATATACAACTTCTTTGAATAAATTATTCTTATTTGTGAAGAAATGTTTCGTTCATTTCACTACAAAAAAACATTTTATAACCAATTCAACATATCTTGATACATATTGTATCGTGGCTCAAATATCGTGATACGTATCGATATAGAAAAGGCTGTATCGTCCCAGCCCTACTGCAGTTATCAAAGTTGATTCTTGCAGAATATTTTTTAAAAAATAAATGATGCCTTTTATTCAAAAAATTGCACCGTTTAGATCCTTAATGGAAATGCAACTAAAATCATCATAGTCTAGATTGAGTCTTGTGAGGTTGGACTAGGCGGATCAAAGTTAGAAGTGTAAGCTATGTAATGATTAAACTTTTTTGGTGGTATTCAGTATTATATATGTAAATAAAACTGTGCTCACCCAAACGGTTGCACCATGAAACAAATTAGTTTTGTATGATTTCTATCTATATAAATATTCAAAGTTACTTCCTTTTTCAACTAAAAAAAGTTTGTCCAACTCCATCTTTGCAAGCCAAGGGAGATGATCCACTCTTCTTTTCACCCTGTGAAGAGGAGAAGATCATCACCCTTGGTTAGTGAAGATGGTCCAACTCAGACCTGAAAACATCTCTTAAAAAAAGGGTAATTTAAATGTCATTTTACTGAGGCACCTTCCAATTCCCCTGCCCCCTTCTTTTTAATCCATCATTGCATAATGTTTCCATTTTTATTTTTTAAGGCTAAGGATTACTGATGAATAGGGCTGTCACGAGAACCCGAAATAACCGAGAACCACGGTCCAAGTTGTTCAGTTCGGTTCTGGTTCCATTTTTCCGTATTTCGGTTCGGGTCTGGTTTATATATTAGAGTCTGTTCAATCAAAAAATGGCGTCGAAATCAAAGGAATGATGACGATAACAGTGATAAATAAACATCACAATTGAAATCTTCTTCATTCCATGACAGAACACTTGTCACGGAAGTATTAGATAATTATCAAAACGAGTAGGAATGGTCAGGTTGTGGCTAATAGAAGGCCAAGTCACCGATGTCTAGACATTCGCATGGTTATGACTTGTTTTCAATGTAAATTTAATGTAACAAATAAAGATTTTTCAAGTTAAATTCATGAAATTAAGGTTTAAAATAGATGTAAATAACCGACCCGAAAAACTCGAAACCGAACCGAAAATTTACAGAACCGACCCGAAAAATTTTGGAACCGTGACAGCCCTACTGATGAACTGGAAACATTTAAATTTTATGCTGAAGTGCTTTTGAAGGGAGGTTGGAATTTTCTTGGTTGTTTTAGGAAATACCAAAAAAAAGAAAAAATGTTGCAATAGGTGTATAAAAATACAAAAGACTAATGGGCTACAATGCTAAGTGATTAACTTTGAACCTGTTGTACTTGAGAAGATTTTGTTTTTTCCCAAATTATATTTATTGTTGAGCTTTAGTCTCTTTTAGTAACCCCTTACCAGCCCCAAGACCATGATCTGAACGAATTGGGGGGTGGGGGTGGGGTGTTATTATGATTTTCCTTTACATGTTTATTCCATATTATAGTTTGATCCCCATTTTGTGACTCCATCCTTGACCAAGGGGCCTGATATGAACAAATTCTCAATCAGAAAAAGGTCACCTGACACAGGTGAGCTAAAATGCACCAAACAAATGTTTCACACTGATGCATTTAAATCTGTGACTCTTTTCAGTTCTATCAAACTTCGGTTTTACTAAACAATTTCCAAAAAACAAAGTAACTTACCCCGGAATCCTCTGTTGTAATTGCCTCGATAGTTATCAGACCGATATCCGTCATTTCTGAACCCACCACCTCCTCCTCTGTTCCCTCTGAACCCTCCATAGTATCCCCTTCCTCTTCCTCTAAAGTTACGACGAGGATTATCTGACATACCAAATGTCTCAACATTTAACTTGCGTTCTTCTCTCCAACTTGGGCGGGTTGACTTTCTGAATCATTAAGGAAAGAAAGTTGTGTATTACCTTTCTATTACTCTTTTTTGTGCTAAATATCTGACATGAATAAGTATAACAACAGTAATGAACACATGGATTCATAGAATATCCAAATGAAAAGTTTGTTCTTTCATGTTTAAATTTCATTTGTAACATTACTATAAGCATGCTTAAAATAATGCTGATATACTAGTAAGCTTACCATATTTGGCCGAATATAATACGCATTGGTGTAAAATACGCACCCCCCTTTTTGAGCCTGAAACTGGGGGGAAAAAATGCAGTTCGGTTGTATTATACGCAGCAGAAAATTTTACCAAGCGGTATTCTGAACTTTTGAAAATCGTGGTAATTTGCTATGAAAATCGGCGCGGAGATAAAGTGCCGAAAATTTACAGAACACGATATTTTATTCAAATGCGTTTTTATTTTTTAATCTTGACTTTCCATATCGCGGCAATCTGGAGGAAATTATCTATTTTAACAAAGCACGAGATAATGTTGCATTAAAGTATTAACAGAGTTTATTATTAATTTTTTTTTTTTAGCAAACGGTGATATTGAAATTATACGTCGCCGTATTCTAACTATTCTTTGTGGAAATAATTTTATTTCAACAAAGCACGAGATATTGTTGCAAGTTTAACAGTTGTCATATTTATTTTTAGTTTAAGGTAATCATGTTGAAAATTATGTAAATATAACAGGGCAAGCGATATTGTAACATCAAAGTATTCAAAGACTACGATTTTCTTCTTTTGAACTTGAAATTAATTAAATAAATAGCTGATGTTATAAAAATAAAATCAAAATTTAACAAGCGTATAAAGTGTAGTTATCAACACACCTCCGAAGCTGTGAAAAATGATGTACAAAGGTGGGATATATGTCTTCATACATCGAGGTAATCTTCGTGGACATCTTATTTTCTTCAGAGCACGAGTAAATGATAAGCTTAAGTTTCAACATATTTCATATTTCCTTTTTTAACTCTCAAACATTTTAACACGAGGCCGATATAAGATGTAAAATTACATTTAACAAGCGTTTAACTGTTTAATGTGTCGTTATCAACACACGCTTATACATACGAAAGATCATAAACCAACCCCTGATTTTTAACAAAGAAAATAATCAAAGCCATTAAAATCAGTGCTCTAACTGTAAAAACAATGCTTTGGAGTCGGTAAACAATTGAATTGCCTGGAGGGGTGTTGAGGGGTAATTATCAAGTGACAAGCGCACGTGTTCACAACATTGGCTTCCATTCATTGGGACGTATAGAGGGGTGTTTATGTTGAAATGAATTTTCACTGAGTTATTTAAAACCTAAAATAAAATTTTATTTTATTGTATTTCATTAAAAAATGACTCATTACTTTTTTGATCGAGTGTCTGACTGATAAGGTACATGTGTACTATGATTACGGAAGCACGTGGCAAAGGAATGTGTGAACATCTATAAATAACATCGTTAATGGCGGCCTACACGGAGACGATGAACATGCAGCTCAAATTAATTTTAACTTGCTTTTAAATTTAATTTAACTATCAAAAGGTTATAAATATAACATTTTTAACAAGTCTACATTCTAACAATAACTTTCCGAAGTTTTAAATATGGCGATAAACAGCAAGAAATTGCACAAGTCTCTAGGTAATACTACGGTATGTGCGTATGATAGCCGTGTTTCACATGAAAGAAAAACCTATCAAAATCCCATTGTGGTGTAAAATACGCACCCCTTTCTCACAGAAAATTATTTTGGGAAAAAAGTGCGTATTATATTCAGCCAAATACGGTAAGTTATTTCGGAAATAAAACCTACCAAATACCTATACCATTTTGGCCAAAAGCAAGCCAGCCGGCAAACTACAGAAGAGATTTTTTTTATAGAATTTTTAGCAAAATCAATGTAAATATAAATTCTAATAATGTGTATTTAATGCCTGCCAGGTTTTTCAGCAAGTTTTTGAAGTGCTACAAAGATTTTCGCTCACCCTTTGGCACGCTCTGTTGCTTCACAACTAATGTTGTCAAAAAAAGATTTGTTCTTATCATAATACATCTCATCCTCTTCTTCGGGAACCTCATCCTCTCCATTTTCCACACTATCTTCCTTGTCCCCATTGACGGACTTCTCATCCTTCTTTTCACCTGTAATACATCACTATATTATTCTCTGCAGTGCTATCAATAAGAATGATTATCTGTGGTCTTCCTTTGCATATAAAAAAGATCTAATAAACTAAATCTAGGATACTGTATCACGTGTAACCCCCCCCCCCCCCCCAAATTAAAGGTTTAAGGTTAAGAATCTTGGTGTATTTAAATCAAAATGTAGCTCTACAGCAGTATCACAGAGAAAATATCTTTAAGTTCCAAAATTTATTTCAGTGTACATATACAGTGGCACCTCATTTATCCGGACGTCTCTGTCCCCAACGAAATCGTCCGGATAAATGAATCGTCCGGATAATTGAATAACATCTCAAAAAAACACTCTTTAAGCATGTATATATGCACATTCTTCTTTAAAATGTGATAGCAAAGAAAAAAAAAACTTTTAAATTATATTTTGGTTTATTGTTTTAAAAGCAGTAATTGATTAAAGAAAAAAGTTTGAATTCCCATCATTAAAAATACCTTGAAAAACGTAATCAACTTATGTATGTAACGCCAGTTTTATATATCTTTTCTAAAGTAATGGATGTTTGTAAACGGTAGTACATTAAATAGAGATGTTTCTTCAAATATGTACCTTTGTAAACTGTCTTGTGGGAAAAAAGCGTTTGAAATAGATTAACGTTTTTAGCAATAGATTCGTATTTTAAACTACAATCGACATGATAAAGAGCATTACGAAATCGGTAGATCGTTATTTATTGCTCATTTTATTTACAACTCTCCAAAATTCTCATCAATTTACCAATGTATATACGGTTAGCAATATGAATTTGAACGGATTATTATTTAATTAATGCACAGTATAAGCTAAATTCTTTGCTTCATACTAAAGATAAACGTGTGATTGAATTGGGGTAAACACACGCTAATTATAGATGCTATTGTTTGTAGGTCACAGGTAACCGCCTTCAAACTGACTGCATGGCCAATGTTTTTACAACAATTAACACGAATGCAAGATAAGTGTGAAAAAGTCGTTTCTTGAAAAATTACCGTCCGGATAAACGAGTCATTTTTCAATGAAATATTATGTTTTGTAGTAGAAATTGACCGTCCGGATACGGAACGCGAATTTCCGGATTAATGAGACAAAATAACGTGGAAAAAAATCAGTTCCCAAAAAATATCATCCGGATGGTGAAGCGTCCGGATAAACGCGGCGCCACTGTACATGTAAACATGTAGTTTGAGCACACTTCAAATTAAATCATGCTTTATGTAGTAAAACCAGTATTTATCAGACTACTATTTCTTGGAAGTTCAGTACACTAATTTTTTTTAAAAATTAAAATTAAATGGTACATGTAAAAAAGCTGAAAAACTGCCTTGCATAATTTAGTGTCAACCTTTCAATCAGAAAAGATTTTTACAGCTTTTTTTCAATGCCTAGAGAAGACAGATCATTTCAACCAATTATCTAAATTTTGTGCTTGGATACTCAAAATTCAATCATCATGTTACTAGTTCAGTGCTTAATTTGAATGTAAAATACAGAAAATCTGCACAAGTAAACATGTCTGAACTTCTCCAAGCCATGTACATGCATTTGAAAATCATTGGAAATGTGACTCACCTATTGTTAATTTCTCCTTTAATTCCCTCTCAATCTCATCCTTATCAAACTGAGCATTTGCCTCTTCAAAGTCAAACTCGCCCTCAAATTTGAGGGGAGATTCCACTTTCCTATTTGACTGATACCTGCCCCGTGATGACTGTCCCCTCTGGAAACCCCTGTTGGGTCCCCTTTGTGAGGCATTTCCCCTTGGTGGTCCTCCTGTGATATATAATGTATAAGCATATTACTATTTATATTAAATATTAGCATAATAAAGGACACATCTTGCACAAATTTTGACTTTTTATTTCACTTCTACCGAAGCAGTTTTTGTTTTATGGTAATTTATGTCTGAGAAATGGACATCACAAAGTAACATACATGTACGTTGTACATGTATGTCAAATGTGTTGTCTCAGATAAACTAATTACACTTTGAATTTTCAGCATCTTCCTTTTTTTTTTTAACTCACTTTATAAAAAGATAGACAAATTCAAACTAAGGGGATAAATAATGTCTTACATATAACAAATGTGTATTAACTGAGGAGAGATGTGTTGATCTTTACACCTGACAGGAATGTCTGGTGCTCAATTTTAAAATTTTATTATTTCGATGCATCATCTTAAGTTTCTTCTTATTAGAAATAATGCTCCAAATCAAGTTTGTAAATGAATACGACTAAAACCACATGGATCAACTCAAATATTTCAAGTGGCAATCCCCGGATGTGTATGAATAAAAAAGAACCCCATAGAAGGCTGGAGACCCAAGATATATGAATCCAATTTTCCTTCCTTCTACATTTTCATTTCTTTTTTCAAAAATGTGTGTTTTTGAGTCTTTGATTTTAGAGAATTTGATTTGGTCCTAAGTGTACATTGATTACACAGGACCAAATGTCTGAAGTGACCCAGAAAACTTTTGCATAGACTGGGCATGAAGACATAAAATATCCTCTCAATAAATGTTTCAAATTACCAAAATATGCATGTTTATCTGGAGGTGCTCCTCTTCCACCCCTTGGGCCACCCCTCTCAAATCCTCCCCTTCCTCCCCTGGAGTATGTGTTGGAGGACTGAGGCCTTTGTTGTTGGTGTTTCCGTGACCTATCACCCATTGGATGCTGACTGCTGCTCTGTGCATTTTGTGAACTGTGCTGGTGTGAATTTTTCTGTGATTTCTCTGGACTCATCTGAAAACAAGGAAAATTAGATAAGAATTTCTATGCTTGATATACATTCTAATATTTACAGGGAATAAGCAACTTTAATTTGTATATGTGAAAAGATTGTTGATATTCAAACCCAGTTCCAAATCATATTTTACATCCCTTTTAAGATAGCCTATCTTACATGTATTTGGGGCTTTCCAAATATGACCAGAACCCTTTTAACATCAATGTGAACAATGAAACCATTGTTCAACACAAGCACAGGTTGAAAAATCCTCAAATTCATGCAATATTTATATATTATACAATGTTTGTAGTTCATATGGCAGTCTTAAGACTAAAGTGGTTTGGTTGAAACTAAACACATGCTAATGAAAGGTTTAATACATTAAATTTATTGGAGGTAATAAATCTCTTTAGTTAACTCAAGTTGAGTACTCAATTTCTGCATACATTCAAACTGATCTTCATCCTCATTCGATCAATGGAACATCATCACACTAGAGGTATGTATTTTTAGTTTAATGATTAATGGGAAAGGTTCTACCATCTTAAAATCACCTTCGAACCACAAGCATTGGTTTTACAAGTTTTACTTAAGTATATATGCTATTCTCTTTTACCTGAGTGCCCTGATCAAGGGTTGGAGATTTGCGACTGGACTGAACACTTGGAGGAGTTGGACCTCTTGATCCTGAAAATGAAGAGAAACTAACTTGTCAACTCTGTGTCTTTCAAATAAATAGTATTTTAAATTCAAAAACATCTTGTTTAAGCCGATTATATATTTGTAATGTACATGTATAAAATTTAATCTATAGAAACAAGAGGCTCATGGGCTACAATGCTCATCTGAGTCAACATTCTTTTCTGGACAAAAAAAAAATATGCAATTGTCACATCCAAATTAAAATCCATGTTTTCAACAATTTTTACTCATAGTATAGTCGCTATAGTGAGGCTTGGTGTCAACTTTACTATTTAAAGCCTTTTCATGTTGATGACTATTTTGCATTAAACTTGTTCCCAAAGTTTGGCCCCAATCTATAGTAAAGCAAGTGTCACAGACAAATAATTTCAGTTTTTAAGGCATACTTGAGAAAACACTACACTGGAATACTTGTACATAAATGACTAATTGTGGCCCCTCCCCCTCTTTAGAAGAACATTTTTAAGATTTGTCCTCCATTTTCAGGTGTATATCAAAAGTTTGACCCCCTTTTGTGACCCATCCGAGTCCAACAACTCGTGATTATCATTTCAAGAAACATGATTCTTCCAAAATCAAATTTTTTGTAGATAAAAATGACTATGATTAGGTGTTCTTTAAACAATCCCTTTTCTTCTTATATAAATTTTTTCCCTATTATGGCCAACCCTTGCCCCAGGTTCCATGTTTAAATAACCTCGACATTTCACTACCAAATGTGACCCTACTTTTCTTGAAAAGAAAATTTATAAATAATTTTTCCATATATTCCAATGTAAAACATTGACTACTATGGCCAATTCTTAGCACCTGGGATCAAGCTATGCGAAGATTTGTATGAACCTTCATTTGGACTTAAGTTTTGTCTTTTCTGACTTAGTTGTTCTTGGAGGAAAAAAAGAAAGACTTTTAACAGACCCCATTCAATTTTCCAAATTTCTGAATTATCCCTCCTTGAAAAAGATAGTGGCCCTCTGTTTGGACAAATTGAATCTGCATCACGGTTTTGTGACAAGTTTATTTGAATTTGGCACAAAGATTCTCAAAAACAAGAAGAAAATGTGAAAAGTTCGTATATAGGAAATACATACACCTAAGGGTGCAACGATAAACCGTTTGACAGTATATCGTGGTATATTTTTCCTCGGTTCAATTCACGATACTCTAAACTGATATCGCAGTTCGGTTCAATCGGTCCAGAATTATCAGTTTTGTCCGTTTTATTTCCTTCTTTACTATTTCAAAACGGCTTCCGCGCAAAACGTGAGGTCGCCGATAACGCATTTACGGCAGTTAAACTCATCTCCAGCATCTTACAGACCTCAGATTTAACACGGAGAGGGACTTAATGTGATTATAAGTTATAGATGTTAAGACAAATGATAAACCCTTTAGGTCTAAACGTATTCTTTGATAATACACGATATTCCATCACATGTGTATTTCGATGAAAATTCGCTGTCTTGTTGACTAAAACGTATTAACACGAGTAATATGACAATTGGTTTTCTACGTAAATAAAAGGAATAAAAGAATGTCTTCCTTTTTCATTCCAATTTAAAAGGAAGATTATTAGGAAATGTCCCCGTAGTTCCCTCACTTTCCTGTAAATGTTCATCATTGGTTTAGAATGTTCACACAACTCAAAGATCTACCTAACAATCCAATTCAAGTTAACAAAATGTTATTTTAATTATTATTAAAAAATATGAACATTTTGTATAACCCTGTCAAGTTTGAAAAAAATATGATGACAAACTTGAAAGATTTTTAACCTTGTTATGTATCGTGATATGTATCGTATCGTGAACTGAATACCGTGATACGTATCGTATCGTGAGGTTAGTGTATCGCTGCACCCCTACATACACCAGACAATTCTTGATCAGAAAAGTTTGCCCAAGTCTCTGGCTCAGGTGAGCTAAAAAAGGTAAGACCTTACTTATATCAGTAATGAAATCATCAGTCAAACAAAAGTATAGATACAATGATTATCAACAAACCTTCTAAGTCAAGACCAAAACTGTCATGGTCTTCCAACTCATGCTTTTCTGTAAATTAGTGAACAAGTGAAATAAACAATCATTAATATCCATGCAGTTGTAAATAATAATCAAGTTTACCTTCACCAAAAATTAACATTAACAAATTAAATCAAATACAAATATTAATTTATAAACAAAATCTGAACCGAGAGAAGGTAGATTTCAAGAGAAGTATTTTAGACAAAATATACAAGGTAAAACTCTGCAACCGCAAAGCTCATGAGAAATGATCCCCGGAAATTTTTCATACACTGTTTAGCACTTCCAGATAAATAGGCCTAGCTAACCTTCATTCAAAAAGCCCAATGAATGGAAAAAGCAAACACTGAGTACGTATTCAATGCGAAGGATTACAGACTAGCAGAATCCATCTACAGAACAGCAACTTACTGAAATAAGGGATACTTGAAACTTATATGTCAATAAATTGACAGACATTACATGATCACTGGTATGCAACATGGATTCCTCGCAGATTGTACATGTACATCATAGGGAAAAAGACAAAGAAATGATATACAGGCTTTAGAATACTGGAAGCTGATGAAACATGTACAAAATGTACTTTATATATGAAAAAAATGTTTAATCTGCACAAAATTTGTTAGGATTAGTGATGCTATGTGGTGGACATGTTGATGTCACAACTTAGTGCAAGTATTCAGTTACATGCAAAGCTGGAAGTGGAATGCCATGTGCTACCCACCAGGGCGTCGTATAGCTTGTTGAGAACCCACTTGAATACTCTGATCCACCGTAGGAGAAGCACGGTTAAAACTGGGAGATGGACCTCGTGAACCTGCTTTCACAAATTCAGCATTTGTTTAAAACACCTTTCTCCCAAGTACATTTCACCATCACTATCAATTATAAAAAAAAATCTAAAAGGGAGGTAATTCAATAGAATACTTCTGTACCTGACTGATTTGGGATAGCTCCAAAAGGCTGGGGAGCTGTTCCTGGTGCTTGACCATACTGACTATATAACTGGGGACCACCAAATGGTTGGTAGCTGGATCCTCCAAAACCACCACCGCCACCACTTTGCTGTTGAAACCCCGATGAGGTTGGCTGGGAGGACTAGGCAGAGAAAACAAAAGTTAAGCTAGATTAATGAAAAGCAAGATTGAAATCATAGAAAAATAGCCATTTATGTCTTTTATCAAGGGTTTTTCATTTGTTTTACCTTAACTATGGCAGGATCTTGCGGTGGCATAGATGCTTGCAAAGGTTGTGCTTTTGGGGGCTCACAGACATGAAGGTCTTTGATGTCACTGCCTCTAAATATGATATATTCAAATATCTCATCACGCGGAGCCACAGGACGATCTGTTGGCCTGTCCTCTGTTCCAAATGATCTCACTAAAATATGAATAAATTTGAAATACAAAAACATATTTGTACCAGATGGGGAAAAAAATCAATGACGTCATGTTTACTAACTGATACTGCATGTTTGGAATAAACTAGAAAAATATTTCTAGAGAATATGAATGCCCAACCTAATGGTAACTTGCAATACAACATAATAAGAATTGCATTCAATCAGTTTAAGCCAATAGTAAAATATGATGAAAGAAAAAATTCCCTTTTCAATAAACAGAATTGATACTTCCTTAGTTACAACTGTTGCTTTTTATAGCATGGTATGTACAGAGTGTTCATTCACCCTACCTTGGTTCAATGCCTAAATGTCTAAGCCATAATGAACTTTCTACAAACTCATAAAATGTAAACTTAAAATCAGAAATTTTCTGTTTGATTCAAATGCTCTCAAAGAGTATACAAGTTTATGGAATCATAACTTATTCATAAAGGGTAATCCTTTACCAAAATCAGGAAGACAAGTAGAATCAGGAAAAAGACATGTCAAGGTTATAGGGAAGGACAAGGTTAGAAAATTTGACAAACATGAATTGCTATCACTAAAGTTAATTGTAAAATATCAATAAATTCTACAATTTCTTTCAAACTGAGATAAAACACACAAATGTGGACTAAGGTTGTACCGATAATCAGAAAACATAGATTGTCGACGAAAAAATGCTACCAATTCCGATGTTCGATTATAATTTTTCATAATCGATCATCGGAAACATACTTCTAATACAATACATTCCGGAATTATCCATTTCTGGTTTAAAATTTATTTCTTCTTAATGAAAGAAAATGGCGTCTGCATATGATACTAGCCAACTAGCACGAAGCAGAGGTGATTTAGAACTGAAAGGTGCATATTTAGGGCCTAAAAAAAAATTGTTTGTTTCCTGTAACCCAACTGACCCATTCATTTTACCCCCGGGTGGATTTTTTCTCTGCCAAATCTGTGTTTGCTCTTTGGTTTGATCAATCAACTGATTCTTTTTATTAAAAAAATATTAATTGTATCTTTTATTTAAGACATAAAATATGCAACTTAGTCAACATTTACCTTAAATATAAAGAGTAACCAATTCCCCCCACAACTTTTTGAAGTTCGTTTTCTGCCACTAGCAGCCATGTTGGGTGTCCACTGTATAACACCTGGATAATTCAGTCCCAGGATGTTTGACCCCATTATATATATATTAAAAAAAAAAAAAAAAATCCCGACCTACAGACCCTTGATTTTTTGGGAATGTTACAGGAAACAAACAATTTTTTTAGGCCTAGAAAGTGTAAAAGAAGCAAAACAACAAAGAAAATAATATATTATATATTTTATATATTCATGTTAAAGAAATGATACGAAATAATTGTAATAGTCTGCTTTTTGTATACAAAGCTATGAAATCCAATTATAATCAGTAAAATCGCATCGGAAGCAGTAACCGATTCCAATCGATGATCGATTATGAAAATTAACCGATGTCCCATCATAATGTGGACACGGGCATAGAAGACAAGACATGACAAGCAATGTATGTCCTACTATCTACATGAAATGCAACAAGCAAATTCAAAGAATTGTGGTCCCCCACTTTTGGTGTCTTAGTGGTTGGGACACAATTATTTATGGCATATTGTAACTGTCTTGTTTGTGTGCCCTTCAAACTTCTAGATCAAGGTCATGAAGTCAAAAATGATATAGCTTTTGGTAAAGTGTTGTCATAAGTAATGTACATGTAAAATATGAAAGCCTTATCTGCTCTAAAAGTTCTTGCCTATGTGAAAAAAATATGAAAAACACTGTAGGTTAAACTTAGAGGTCAAGGACACAACGTCAAAACCCAGAGTACATTCGGAAAGGTCTTTAAACAGGTAATACACAAATATGAATGTCCTATCTTCTGTCATTCAAATGTTATTACCAATAATAAAATTTTTGAAAATTAGGTCAAACTTCAAGGTCAAATATAGCACATTTTAACACTTCTTGTAACAGAAAATGCAATTGTCAAATATGAATGCACTATTTTCTGTCATTGAAATGTTATCACCAATGTTAATTTCTTTTTAAATTAGGTCAAACCTCAAGGTCAAGGGTCAAAAACTGTAGCATGTTTGGAAATTTTTTTTGTTTGTTTGTTTGTTGTTTAACGTCCCTCTCAAGAATTTTTCACTCATATGGAGACACCACCACTTGATGGTGGAGAGCTGCGAATTTTTTACCTATACTCGGCACTCAGGACCATTGAGCAGTGATCCTTTTTGTGTCAGCACCTACTGCGACACGGAACCTCAGTTTATATAATCTCATCCGAAGGATTGATCTCCACATCCCACAGTGGGATTTAAACCCGCGTCATAAGGATCAACTTCTTACTCCACGACTCCAGAGCAGACGCTCTAACCACTGCACCAAGCTGGCGTTTGGAAAAGTCTTGTGACAGGTAATGCACATGTCAAATATGAATGCTCCATCTTCTCTCATTCAAAAGTTATAACTAAAGTTAAAATTTTTAAAACTAGGTCAAACTTCAAGGTCAGGGTCACGGGGCAAAAAATCATGGTACAGTGCGGACTCGTTATTATGGTGACGGTTTTATAAGATAGAATGCTTATTACATTGTAAATTCAAAGCACAAAACCATTTCTTAACAAATCTATACAAAATAGAACTGTTTATTACGATGTCCTTAAATGCCGGGACTCGGTATTACGATGTAAAAATTCTGTCCAAAATTTTTTTCACTCCGTGTTTATTCGGTGTTGATCGACGGTAGACACTTAAGGAGACACTAAATAAACACTGAAACACCTGTGCTCTGACAGAGTGTTAACTTGCAGGGCCGTTAGGTGATTAGTGATGTTTGACTGCACACACCTTGACTGTTCTAGCTAGGTCAGCAGAATTGGAGACGTGTCAAAGCCATTGTTAAACAATTAAACTGTTTATTTATAAATGTAGTCTCTAGTTTATCTATCTGTTAAGTTTATTTATTTTTTTTTTTACTATGGTTAATAAGTAAAATTAATTTATTAGATAAAAGGTTACATTTAATCGTATGCATGTATGTTAAATACGTAATGTGTAATTTCGTTTGCAGTTAAACTGCGGAATGGACAGCTTGGGTATCAAACATAATTTTGGCAAAATTTGAACTCCAATAACGTTTTAACAGCTTGGATAATGGCTTGGACTACCTCACAGGTGTCAGCAGAAATACAAATCGATAATTGCTGAACTGCTAATTGAACTCTGTTCAGTAATTTAAAAATTCAAATTTATTTTGACATTTAGCTTGTGTGTTTTCAAATCCTGTCCATGAATATGCCTATCACACTGCCCACTTTCATTAGTTGTTCACTGCAGCACTAAGCTCATTGAACACCCAAAACCGCCCAGTGATGTATTGTTGATGTTTATGTAGTAACGATACGAAGACATTGAAAATTTTAAGAACGCATTATCTAGTCAGAAACGAAAGTAAAAGTAAACGGAAATGGCGGCAGATAAATGAAGATTGCCGAAGTTTTTATAAAAAATGTGCACATTTCTTTTAAAATGAAGGAAATGGAAGAAATAGCATCATGAAGATATCTATTCAAGATAAGTTATTAATAAATTATATGTATATAGCATTTTAATGAAGAATTTGAACAGAAGAAGGAAACAAAAGGAGAAAAATACATCTCCTAATACAACAACAAGCTTTCAAAACGATGTTTTACTGGATTTTATTGGGAAATTTTATTTCATTGCCCTCGGTATTACGATATTTTACCGTGACAAAATGAACATCGTAATAACGAGTCCGCACTGTATATTTGGAAAGGTCTCGTCACAGGTAATCAAGGGTAATGTACATTTGAAATATGAAAGCCCTATCTCTTCTCAATCAAAAGTTATGACCAAGATAAAAGTAACGTTAAAATTTTTGAAAAGTAGGTACTTCAAGGTCAAGAGTGTCAAAAAATCTGTCTATTTGGAAATGTACATGAAATATGAAAGCCTTATCTTTTCTCATTCAAAAGATATGACCAAGGTCAAAGTCTCTGTGACAGACAGACTGACAGACAAATGAGATTTAATGTCCTCTCCCTTTTGCAAAAGTTGGGGACAACGAATATTATGAGCAGTCTTATGTCCAACTGGGACAAATTAATCTATATTTATTAAAACAATCCAACCTCTTTTGCAAAATCTGACTTTGGTGGGGAGAAACGATAGTCATGTTTCTAACATATGCCAAAATATAACAAACATCCTTGGTAGCATGGGACAGAATAATTGTTTGCTTTAATTGAACAATTATAATACAACCAAAGTATTGTACAATTATTCCCTTGATAGCAGGCAAATATTACATGCAAAATGTTTTTCTCTAATGTGGGAGCACATTAGAATATGTCCCATATTGCAATGTAGCAAAATGGAGCAAATCCACTCCTGCATGATTTTGAAGAATACAAACCAAGTTTCACTGAAAATTAACCACCAAATGAAATATGAGAAATCTTTTCAAGCTTGTATGTACCTAGATTGATATTGTCATAATTCTTTCAATGAGTTGCCGAAGTAGCAAGATAATTCTAATCTACACATATACTACAGAAAATTCAGTTTCAATTGTCATCACAAATAAATTTAAAGCAAGAAATGTTAGAAAATGTGTAAATTTCCCCCTTTCCATGGAATTTTTCTTTTGCTAGAAGGTACACATTAACTCAAAAAGGTTTTTTATGATTAATTTTGTAGTTATTTTTATGCAACTACTTTCGATATATCCCGTGGCAAATCGTGCTAGAGAGGATCTGCTCCATTTTGTTACATTGCAACTATATGGTTAATGGGACATACTCTAACTGTGATGTGGGGTTATCTTGAGATAACTGAGGTACAAGCAAACAAAATCTATGAAGAGGCCAGAATATACTGTAATAAATGGTATGAAGACCATCACCATTTATATTCCACCTGACATTACTCCAATTTCCATGCACATTACACATGTCCTGCATTGTGCATTTACTGTCAAAAACCATCATATGCAATACTATAGATGAAAAAGTTAAGTTTTTGGCCATATAATTACAGCTTACTTGGAACGCAGTCTCTTCCCTATGACCATGATGGCCATTGTATGTGATTCAATAATTCTCAATAAATTACATAGTTATGCAAAATGTCAGACACTTACTGGTCCTAGGGGATGCAAATTATGCAGTGTTATCATTTCACACTTGCAGCTTCGATACACTATACACCTTTGTTGACATAACAGAACACAGCTGACTTATATACTAGGTCACAGTTTAAGAGATGCAAGATTTGACAAAGACAGTGACAGCAGAAATGAATTCAGTATTTCACATACTTGAGACTGAGCTATATTGTAAAATTTGTCAGCTGCTACACTAATGCTGACAGTACGGAACGGGGTACTTTTACGTACCTTTCGCTAATGCAACTGTCGACTCATTGGGATCAATAGTGTATAAAATGCCCTCATAACGAATTCCTGCCTTCGAAATGAGGCTTATTTTACTGCCGAGATATGGAATCCCCCCACTCATGACGCCTTATGACAAAGCGTCAGAAATTATGGAGGATGGCGGTGGATTCTCAGCTTTGTGCCTATCTCTCTGGAACTGTTCTATCCAAAATGGCGATCTATTATGATTGGACGGTAGATGGCGCTAAACTTCAAAAAATACTTCCCATAATTCTTGTGACAGAGCATGCGTACTTCAGTTGAAGTTGTGCTGTGGAATGAAATGGCGACCACGAACAGTCTCGACGATATTTTGTCAACAGAAATCGACGAGAATGCTGTTAATGCCCTAGTTGGTTCTTTGGAGTCACAGCTAGCCTCCACAACACATAAGGACACTGCACATTCTATATCTGATGCTTCTATGAACAATAATCATATAAGCAATGCTAATGCTCCGGTAGCATGTACTTCAACTGTGTATTTACATAGCATCCCAACACCAGCTTCGAAGAATATGACAATTCAAAATAATGTAGCATTAAATAATGCAAACATATCTCATCTAAAAGCATCTCACTCTGATTCTCAGTTACTAGGTTTAAATTCTATTGTGTCGAATGTGAATTCCAGTGAAGGAGGTGGTTTATCAGTTAATGCCAATAATATCAATAGGAACTCGCCAGTGCCTGTGAATCATGTAAGAATTGTTTCTCAATCACCAACCATTACAAACTCGCGTAATTCACCATCACCATCAGTTCAAGGACAACTTAACAGTGTCAGTGTCGCAAATGTACGCTCATCAACGCCAAATCAAGTTGTGATAAACAATGGACAAAATTTACCAAATGTGAATTCTGCAAATAGTGCTAATTTTAATGCAAGTGATCATAAACCTGTTATAAGGTCTACACATAACAGTCCATTAAACCAAATTTCTAGTCAGGATGTGAAGCCTGGACCAACTCAAATAGTGAATATCAAACACGAACCTGTTGGTTCACCCCAGACAGGGGTGTTAAGTGTGAAACAGGAGACAGGATCTCCAAGCTCAGGATTCGGTGTTAAACAGGAGCACCATTTAGCAATACAACCTGTGCCTGGTGCACCACACAATGTGCCTCAACCAAATGTTCAGTTAGTGCAGGGAAAAGGACCAGTTGTTACAGGAAATCCAAGTGTGATTACAGTTAGGACACCTGGACAAACTCATCCATCACAAGTTGTTATGCAACCTCAACTTATCACAACTCAATCTTCTAGTTCACAGATGCATGTAGTGTCTGTGAGTGGGTGCACTGTTGCCACACGTCCAACAGGAACAGTTCAAATGACTCAAGGCAAAAATATTAATCCGCGAATGACAACTGCAGCTTTTAGACCTCAGCAAATTAGTATAGCACCAAGACCAGGAACAACGGTGTGCATTTTTTTTTTCAACAACAAAGAATACTTATTATTAGGCTTTTTTATAAATGCTTTAAAGGGGCAATCACCAATCTCTATGGTGAATTTCTACATGTAATCTTAAAATAGTACATACTTTTAATACATTTATCCACTGGTCTGGTATATGGATGAAAGGGACAAAGTTTCTTCATGTTGGTTAGAGAAGGAGAATAAATAAGACTTGTAATCTATTTATTTTATTAAATTATATTGGTGAAAAAAAAATTAACAAGACAAAATATTCTGATATTCCATGCCAAGTGAATGTTTAGTATGTGCAGAATTCTTTAAATAACCTGGGAGCGATTTATTTCTCTTAGTAATAATAAAAGGTTAGGGGTGGGGGACTACATATCAAGTCATAAGAGTATTATTTTTGATCTAGGACCATTATTGAAAAGAATTTTGTTTTTCATATATCAATTGGCCAAATTCCCAAATTAATGTACAAGTATTATATTTTGAAAAAAAAAAATCTATCACAATTTGCTGAATTTTAATTTGATATCACTATAAACATGATAAAGACATCCTATGAAAAATTTTATATTTAAAGAAAAATTCATATAAATTAAAAAATTATACTCTTCCATTATAATAGTGAAGTATACAGAAGTCTTATTTTAGAAATAAAGTCTATAAATTTTATGCTGCAATATTTGAAACTTCAGCTGTCTGACAAGTAGAAATTTTTTAATGCATTCTGCATGTTTGGTCTTCTAAGTATAATATGTATATATCAAAATTGTTCATCCCTGTTGCAAATACATATATGATCTTATCCTTTAGAGCTGTAGCTGATTATATAGTATAGTTTAAGTTATATTATAGAACTATTGTATCTGCTAATATCAATTCACATGTAAGGGGAATAACTATACACACTACTGATATTTTGAGGAACTTGTTCATTGTGCAGGGAAAAGTAATTAATGTACTTGGTCAACTGTCTTGATTGGAAGTTATTTCTTAGTTTAATGCTTTCAGTATTGAAAATTTAAACACCAACAGAATAATGAAAACTTTAGTACAATGATAAATGAGTTTCTTGAAACTGGTAATAAGATAACATCTTTCATACTTTAAAATATATTATTAATAATAGATAGATAATCAGACACCATTTAATATCCCTTTTCTTTGGGTTGGGGGGGAGGGAGGGCTATGAATTATTTGAAATGTATTTATCATTGTTTTATATCTTACGGTGTATTTTTTACTTAACTATATTCAGGAGAAAAGTTCAGTATGAATTTTACCGCTTGAATATAGTAATGTTTTAATACACTTTGTAGCAAAACACCATTGCGCTGCCCCCTGGTGTTCAGATACCTCCTGGAGCTCAGATTGTACGGAATGAGCAAGGACAACTAGTTTTTGTCATCCAGCAACCTCCAGCAACCAGTGCAACGGGGCACCGTATGTATGTTAGAGTAAGTATGATACATGTACATATGATACACAAAGAGTGATATGTGTAGTCAAATACATGTATGTATATTGCTATGTTAGTTAATTTTAAATGCTTTTAAATTTTAGATACACCATTAAATGTCTATGATATGCAGGACAAATAATTTTAAGATCACTAATTCCATGGGTATGAAAGAATTTGATTACTTGAGAAATTTTTTATTGTGCCCAGGTACCTGCACCTTTGTGTTTTATCCCATACTTTACAAATGATGCTTGATAGTAATTATGCATACTAAATCAACCACTATGTAATATATGTCTGAAAAGCAACACTTCTGTTCATGATTAGTAGTAATGGTGTAAAAATAGAATCTTTTCCATGTTGGAAAGTTGGGGGGGGGGGGGGGGTTGACAGAAATGCTTCTTGCAAAATGATGTTCATTGCATGTATTTGATGTGGTTGTTTGTTGTAGCCCTCAAATTCTCCTGGCCCAGGTCGCCCTCAACAGATAGTGACAATTCAGCCTCCTAACTCAGCCCTTGCACAGCAGGGAATCCCCCGACAGGTCCACCTAAGCACTGTCTCTACAGCCACCCCTGTACCCAGTCTGGTCCGCACTGCCCCTCCTGGGACTGCCATCCACTCCACGGCGTCAGGTAGGAGGCCAACAAGTATGTACCCTTTAACACCATTTAGGAAACACTATTGTAGAATGTTGTAGTCACTATTGGCAGAGATCTTTATCTGAAATTCCATCTGAAAAACATTCTTGCAAGATTTAATGACTTTTAAATTAGAGTCTGAGCATGTGTTAAAGAACTTTTTTTTTCTTTTGTAGGTGCACCTCAACAGCCCCCTGACAATGTCAAAAAATGCAAGAATTTTCTGTCTACTCTCATTAAATTGGCTCAGAGTCAACCTCCACAAACTGTCAAAAATGTTCGAGAGCTGATCCAGGGCCTTATTGTGAGTTACACTGCTGTTAATAGTTACCAATCTTTGTTTTTATACCTCCAAGAAGCAAAAAATATCAATTGATATGTCAAGGTTGTACATGTATATTTTAAGTGCATTGAGAGAAGTTCAGGAATGCAAATGATAACAATGTAATTAATTTTTTTTTTTTGTAATACAGTGTACTTTAGAGTTCTTACATATTAATTTTCAGATATGCTTTTTAATCCTCTTAGGACAGTACTAGTTTGTATAATGGGGAAAAACTCTACATTTTTGATTTTATTTAGGATGGAAAAGTGGAGCCTCAAACATTCACAGAGAAGTTGCAAATAGAACTTCGATCATCACCTCAACCATATTTAGTGCCATTCCTTAAGGTAAAAGATTTATGACGTACATTGGACTTATTCAGCTAAAATCAAGGGAAGGGAAAGCAAAAACCTGTTCAAATAAATTGCAAAGCAATATTCATTTTAAAATAGATTTAGAACTCAAAAACTTAGCTTTAAAAAACAATCTCAATGTGTTGTAGAAAAGTCTGCCAGCCTTGCGCCAAGCATTAATTGCCAATACCATGACAATAGATGGTGTCAAGCCCCCTCCCTTGGAGGTTCTTCATCCTGTGGCATCCATGGCGACTCTAGTCCACCCTCAAGTTCCTCATCCGTCCAGTCAACATGCAGCTGTGCGAGGCCAACCAATTGTGAGTATGGTTTAACAACAAAAATTGTAAATCAACTTGCTTTTCTGGCTGCTCTCATGATTTTGCCGACTTGTTATTAAGCAGTGTTTTCAGTCCAGAGTTGTCTTTCTTTCAACCTGCTGGCATGTTTTTACATATTCACAATTTTCTTTCTTCAGAAACTTGATAGGTTTAGTTACAAGTGAAGATAGTTGATAAGAAGTTCAGAGCTACATGTAGTTTTATTTAAAAAACACCAAAAAACAATAATAGTAAATTCTGAAGTAGTTTTAGATAGAATATTTCAAAATATCGATAAGATCAAGCTCTATGAACCACACTGCTTAATGTCAGAACCATGTTAAAATGAGTTGGTGTGACCCAATATTTCTCACACTTCTTACTGAGTGCAAACCAAATGAATACAAAGGATATTTTAAATCAAAAGAATTGGAGACACACAAATTACAAAATCCAAATTAGTAACCCTGTACATTAAAATGTGTCAGTGTAATGATAAATGGAACGAGTCATTGATGTAAATCATGATTAAACTTGTTATATAGATTATTTAATTGTGTGGGGTTTTTTTTATTGTTACACTGTGTTTAATTGGATAATGTTTGGGGGGGGGGGGGGCTCACATCTGAATATTGCAGAATATTTGACATGACTCTGAAAATATTCAT